CATTAAACTAACATCACCTTAGTAGTACAATAACCTGTTAATCAGATCAACACAACAACAACATAACCTGAATAAAAACACATCAGTACAGGAACATTAACAGTAATTAAACAGTCCTTACTTAGTCGTTACCTCTGTTAAATTAGGGTTAGGGTTACATCAGTAAGTGGTTAAAAATTCTTCTCACCTGAACAGACCACACTAGCGTCCTCACTGTTTACTTCAGATAATCTGATCCGCACGCCTATAAGGGAAGTAGGCCATAGCATACAATATTTTAATATTTTACACAGAATTTAAAGTAAAAACTAAAAGGATTGTATGCATCATGAAGCAGAATGAACTGAAGTTGAGGTCAAGAGGATGGTTCTTGCTTTAAAATGAGTCTGTTGGTAACATTTAAAAGTCTGCTGGAGACTGTGCTTCCAGCTAACTACTGAAACTAATGTTATCTTAATAAGCTATCAAGCTATTCCAGTCAGTTACTATTGGCAAAAGCACAAATAGTGATAGAAACCGTAATCGGTTCTTAAAACCTGTAGCAACAACCCGAGTATCTGAGCAGCAAATTATGTATGTATAGCATGTATTACTAATTAAATAACCACAATTCTCCACAAATTTAAAAACATGAAATAATATAATAGGTCAGATACATGGAACGAATTTAGGGATCAATAAAGGATAACTTTACAGAGAGGCTGTGCTATTGTGTGGTTTGCTGCTCACTCACACTGACTCACATACTGTGGAAATGAAGACAGAATTGTAGGTTAGCGTTTCACAGCCCATCTCCTGTTTTTGCTTTTTATGGTATTTTAACCTTTCTAACTGAACCACTGACAGTATTGAACCAGCAATGCTGCAGTTGCGTGGCTTGCACAATAGCCACATGATTATCAAGGCGCAACATCATTTTGTTAAACCCACAAAGGAACTTCTCTCCCACAGCTGAGAAAATGTAAGACTGAAACTAACTCTGGTTCTTGCTCAGATAAGACACCAAATAAATTGGCTTTTGACAATGTATCTGGAACTTTATCACACAAACAGACAACAAAAGTGAAAGAAGGAAACTAATTTACAGACAGGAGACAGTATTGCCATGTTGCCAGAAAAGTAGAATTTGGCATTTGAATATTTAAGTTATGCAACCATGTGTATGCACATGTAAAAGGGGTGTGTATGTTCATTGGATGGAGTTTTCATTATGGCTAAATATTTAATAGGAAGGTTTCCAGGGCAACCATGCTCAATTTAGGGCCTTTTTATGTGCAGTATCAGTTCCCCAACTTAACAGGACAAACACACTTACTTTCACATGGCACTACTACAGGTTGCTTACAGGAACTCCATGTGAAACTGTGGTAAGTAAAAATAAACACAGGAAGCTGTTAGTAGCTTTGAGAATTCCTTTTACATATTCAGCTGATATAAAGCAACATTAGCAAATATATATCCGGCGCTTTAAAAACTAAATGTTCCACTTTGTTCACCAGCTGATCGCCAACTATGTCTTTTTTTGCTGGAAACAAGATTAATTTCTTGCAGCTCGTTAGCCTTCGAGTTAGCATTTAGAGAGACAAAAACAGCCCCAAAACGCATCTTGTTCCTATATAATCAGTATTACACATACATTTGGCATGTGAACATACAGTACACACTGATGCACATTCTGTACGTAAACCCATGTGGTTGTGGTAGATATTGGGTTCCTCTTTCCTGGAACCCTGACCATTTTCTGTCTGTGAATTTGTTTCCTTTTCTCTCTTATTTTCTTGTCTGGGTTGTTAAATTTAGTACGCTAATATTTCTATAATATAATATAATTATTATTATAATAATCATTATGTCCACCTGTATGTAATAAACAGAAACATTCACAGCATATGTAGCATGTTGTGCAAAGTATTTTATAAATGACTAATTTAAACAAACAAACAAAAAAAACAAAATTCTGATTCTGATTTAGAATAAACAAAAGCCTTTCTTTGCTTTAAAATGTGGTGTGAGGACAATTATTTGTCCTGAGAACTGCATGTTGTGTTACTGTAATATATGCATTAGTTTGTAATGTTTGGTCAGCTACTCTCTCTCTATGCTGAATCTCCATAGGAGGGTTATAATGTCACTGCAATAGACGTGCAGCATGTGAAATCATTCTTTTCCATGACACAAGTAAGTCTCAAGTTTTGGCTTTTGAGTTAAGTCGCAAGTCACTGTTTTTAATTTTATTTTTAAGGAAGTCTTGCATTTCATTAAGCAAATTGAGGCAGTAGCCCACAGATCATTTTCACAGCTGGAAAGCAGAACTGACACTATACTCTGGTGTTGTGGTTTATCTTCAAAAGGCTTCAGCTTCACATGAAAACTTGCATCTGGACATGTTGGACACACATTTCTGCTTTAATAAGACGTTACTGCTCTTCAGGAGGAATTTATTCCTTCAAATGTTTTGTAATGTTGCTGGTTTTATAAAGTTACTTGATGACCTTTGAAAAACAGCGGTGGCTCCATGCACCAGTCACTCTTTAGAGACAAACAGCCAGGTCTAGGTCCAGCAGAGTCGGGCGTGGGCTGCTGCTGCTCTGGCCTTCCACACAACACACACACACACAGCTGTGAGTCTGAATAATGATGGTGGAGTGATCTGAGTACTGAGAAGAGTCAGAGATTATTATCTGACCTCTGAGCTTTGGTCTGGCTGCCTAGACTCCCGAGTCAGTCTCTAAATCAGGGGTGTCAAACTCTGG